TGTGATTAAATTAAAAAGTAGTATAATTTCAGGCTTATAATGTAAATATTGTTTAAACTGAAAACATTCAATATTTTGCTTACAGTATATTTTTAGGGGTAATTTAAAATGTGTAGCTTTAAAGAAAAAAAAGTTTCACAGATTTATAGTGGGTGAGCAGCTGTTTCCACATTGTTAGGGCACAGAAGTTCCAATTGCCACATTAATCAAAGTATTGAGACTACAAAATCCATTTCATTTAATCTCATTATTGAATAAACAGCTCTGTAGTGATGCCGATTTGTACTTGTTTCTCTAATAAAAATGCAACTGTAGCTCTCAACACAAATTAGTTTTAATTATTTAAATGATATGAATTTGTCAAACATAAATAATCTAACACCTGGTTTGCCTCCTCGTTTTCTGAAAAAATGTGTTTCATGAAAACTAGTAGAGGATGATAATGGGGAATAACAAAGGTAGGTCTATGTATTTATTCCAATTCTATTAATTTTAAAAAAGGGCAAATGTAAGTTGATTACTGTCTAAGAGGGTGGAAAAGTAATCTGTCTTACTGCTGTGCAAGGACACTACAGAATACAGCAAAGCAGAAGGATGTCTCACATACTCTGGTTCTGTGCAACTCACTTGTCCTGTGCTCCTGTCTGAAAACTGGTGGCAATGATTTACAGCTTAGCAATCCTTCTTCTGAAGACAGGGATCACATTACCAAGCGATAAGTGGTGTAGGTTTTAAGACACTTAATCAAGATGGCAAAATCTGCCATAACAGTCACCAGTTTATGTGGTTTAACAAACCTTCTCAGGCAAAAGAAAAGGCTGAATTTCCCTGTTTTGTCTTTGTTTTAGTAACTTCGTTTCAGGAGGCCTGCCTGACCTTAGAAGAGGAGTACCCTAAGTGTCAGAAGGGTATAATATCATATATAAGCCACTTGGTAGATCTCTGAAAATGGAGATCCATTTGTTTTCACCACAGGATAGTATAATTATGTTTGCTGTTTCTGTCTCATGCTACATTTTGTTTTAAAATATTTGGTATTTAAAATTCTGGATATCCTAACACGCTGCCCTGAAATCATTTATCATTTGGTTGAGGAAATATATAATCCAGCTGTGGTTGTTGGTGGTGGCCTCATATGGCACTTCAAGCAGTGATAATTTGTATTACTTTCTGTATATTAAAAAATTCTTTAATATTGATTCTGTTTGTGGTGTATTAACTGTTATCCTTTCTTGGTAAAGGAAGAGTGCTAAGCAGATAGTTACTGTCTTAAATCAACAAGGCAATTTTAGAGTCACATGAAGCTGTTGAAACCTACCACTCAGTAGTTTGTCTGCCAGATTAATCATCTTTATTGTTCCTCCTGGAGCTGTGTCTCTTCCTTTGTGCAAAATATTTCCAGCAGGCAGGCTTATAGTGAGAACATACAACACTCCCAGGGTATGATTACGTGACTGTCACCATTATGATTGTGCCCTACATGTTAGTAACATAGTTCAGGGTTTCAAACGATTTTTTTTAAATGCAAATTGTGGATTTTTTTCTTAAGCATTTTATATTTTATAGTGCATTTTCTTTCCAAATATTCTTAAAATTATTTTGTGTTAGTAGTCCCTTCTCAGTACTTTTAATTTAAAAGTTCCTATACTCAATTTTTTGCATATCAGCAAAATGGTTTTTTAAACCATTTGCAATTGTTGTTAAATAATAATTTGCAATTATTGTTAAATAATCAGTAAATATACTACAGAAAAGTACTGTGAGACTACCAAGTTAGTTTTGATGTCATTGGAACTCAGTTAAATGTCAGTAGTAAAACTAAAATCAAAGAACTCTGGTATGCAACTACTCAACAAGAATGAGAACTGTATTTAGCTATTTTTATAATAATTTTATAAATTTATAACTTGAAATGATATAAACTAAGAAAAAGCGTACACAAGGCAGGATGTTTTCAAAGCTCCTTTTATACATCAGATGACATTAATTTGTAATCTAGATACATAAAATAAGTAAAATGAGAGTATTATCTTTGCTGATCATAAACCTTCATGTTACTGAAGATATTATCATGATAAAAATACTTTTAAGCAAAAATATCAGGACAATCAGATTTCATATTTTTATCTTTGAAACAATATGAGGTATCTCAGTTTTTCAATCTATTTCCCTAAATAGGTGGAGTTCTTTGCTACTTAATATGAGCTCTTAGGAAAGTGTGTTTATGGGGAGAGGAGGAGAGAATTCACACTAATATTTTCACTCAAATGTGTTGATAAAAAGTAAATATCACTTTAAAATCAGTTGCTTGTTTTCTCTTATAAAAGCCTACTTGGCAATGTGTCACATTCCAGACTTTTTGAAATATTATAATAACCTTACCTGGCAGCAGCTATTCTTGCCACAATACATTATTCCTCTTTCTGTACCTAGAGGATGTAGCACACATCATTGAAACATTTCAGTTTATGCTGTGCATGCTAATTTTAAATTCAGATTG